GTTCTGAAGTCAGGTAGCGTGAGTCCTCCAATTTTATTCTTCTTCTTCAGTAGTGCTTTACTTAAACATACATTTACATTAAAACATACATTGTTATGAGCCCCCAACCGCTCACCCCATTCTGTGACAGCACACTCCTCCCCTCTGCACCTGATTCCCCATGAACATTCACCCAGCCCCTAACTCTCTGCCTTCCCCCCTCACCTCTGGACAGAAGCCGCCCCTTTGGTCTCTTGTATCTACTTGTCTAAGAGGCACATTCTTCATAAGTATCACTTTATGTCCCACAGTCCAGTCCAATCCCTGTCTGAAGAGTTGGCCTCGGAAATTGTTTTAGTTCTGAGGTGATGCAGAGACCAGGGGCCATGCTTTCTGGGACGCCTCCAGTCTTAGTCAGACCATTAAGTCTGGTCTTCTTACTAGAATTTGAGTTCTGCATCCCATCGTTCTACTCGTCCATCAGGGACCCTCTGTTGTGTTTCCTGTCAGGACGTTCCTTGGTGGTAGCTGGGCACCATCTAGTTCTTCTGGTCTCAGGCTGATGAAGTCTCTGGTTTATGCTGTCTCACAATTCTTAATCACATCTGCAAAGTCCCTTTTGCCATGTAAGACAAACATATTCCCAGGTTCCAGGGTTAGGACTGTCCATTCCCAGTTTATACTGAAGTAATATATACCATATTGGGTAAGTTGGAAAAGCTTCCCGAAAGAGCTGAGTTTAAACATCAACCCAAAGGAGAAAGGTGACTCTTGCAAAGGTTTTGAGATAGGAGCAGATGATCCTTTGCCCTTGCGTATCTCTGATGGTGTTAAGGACTTCTGGGAGGGTGACCCACAGAGGTAAATGAGCAGGGTACCCCCAAGAGCATGTGCTGATCCTTTTCAGGAGGGCCTGAGGCAATGGCAGGAGGAACAGGAGAGGAAGGTGCGAGCCCTCTCTGAGATGGCATCTGAACAACTGAAGAGGTTTGATGAACGGAAGGAATTGAAGCAGCATAAAGAATTCCAGGACTTACGGGATGTCATGGAGAAGAGGTGAGTCTCTGAATTGTGACTGAGAATGTTGGGTGGTCAACTGAAACCCTTACCCAAGAGGAAAGAGTTGAATTTCTGAGTCCTTATATATCAAAATAAATAGCCAGAGAAGCTTATTACCTAGAAAAATGACCAACCTTGGAAAGATGACCAATGTAAAACAAGGAAGGAGCCTTTTAGGAGGCTAATTTTAGGAAGCATCCCTGACTATTCCTCTTCTTTGTCATTCAGTACCAGAGAAGCCCTGGGGCACCAGGAGAAGCTGAAAGCTGAGCACCGACACAGAGCAAAGGTCAGCCTGGGAGGATCAGTGTGGGTGTCAGTTTGGTGCCTGTTTTTGTAACCTGCCTGAAGAGTCAGATTCTGGCAGACAGTCATCGTGGAGGACCTGGCTCAATATGTTTCTGTGTGACTGCCTTGGGGGAGTCCTTTTCCTGCTCTGGGCTCATCTGCCTGTCTGTGAAAATATCTAGCCCACAAAAGGCTTGAAGAATGTAGAAGAAGAAAGCCTAGGAGCCCCTTGGAAGAGGTAAACTTAATGGCCCTTTCTGTAGATTCTGAACCTGAAGCTGCGGGAGGCAGAGCAACAGCGCCTGAAGCAAGTGGAGCAGGAGCGACTTCGGAAGGAAGAAGGCCAGATCCGCCTGCGGAGCCTCTATGCACTGCAGGAGGAGATGCTGCACCTCAACCAGCAGCTGGACTCCTCCAGCCATCACAAAGACCTGCTCAAGATAGACCTGTCTGCCTTCTGGACCCGAGGCAATCAGCTGTGCAGCCTCATCTCAGGGATCATTCGGACAGCTTCTGAGGTGAGAGGGGCTTCAGAATGACTCTTCTCTCTTTGAAGTGGAGAACATTAAAAACAAAATTGTTTCTGATTTAAAAGTAATACGTGCATATGGTAGAAAATACTAAACATTACTTGTCATTTTCTTACCTAGAGGTAACCACTGTTAATATTTTGGTATGTTTTGTTTCTGATGTGTGTGTATTTGTTATCCCCATCCCAAATTATATAGGTGTAGTGTTTCATATCTTGGGTTAAAAAAATACATTTCTTCTGATTCCAAAACACTTCAGTTCATTCAGTAGTGTACCTGCAATGCTTATGGTAATCATTAAAATGTTACAGAAATGTATATTGTGTTTTTTAGTTAACATTGTATATTGAACATGTAATTACTATAATCATTAAAAACATTTTGATGGTTTTAACCCAGTGTTCATAGTTGCAAGTGTTGCCTTGACACGTAATAGGTATTCAGTAAACATTTGATAAACAGATAAAATTGGATACTTCCAGCATATAACCATACCAAAATTTATTGAAATACCTATTCATCATGCCTGTTGTTGAACATGTAAGTTTCTGCATTTTCACTGCTATGTATCACACTGCAGTGATATCATTTTATATACATTTTGTCTGTATTTCTGATTATTTCTTTGAGATAAATTCCTAGAAATGAATTTACTTGGTCAAAGGATTTTAAGGTTCTTGGTTCAAATCACTTCACAGAAAAATTGTACCAGTTCACTTTTACTAGCAGTATCTGGGTGCCATTTTTCACTACATACTTGGCAGTATTGGATATTACAAATTCCTTTTATCTTTGCCCTTTGAGTAATATATTTTTTGGTTATAATTTGCATTTCTTGAATTACTAGTGAGATTGAATGAAATTTTTTTCATATTTTTTAGCCTTTTATATTTATTTTGTGAATTGCATATTCTTGTCCTTAGTTCATATTTCTGTTTGAGTAATGTATTTTTAAAAAAATCATTTTATATGAGTTCTAGATATTAATGACTTTAAGCATTTATCATATTTAAGACAAGTTTATTTTTATAGTTTATGATTCCCCTTGAATTCTCTTTATGGCTTTTATTAACTTTTCTTTTTGTAAAATTTTAAACCTACACAAAAGCGGAGAGAATAACACAGTGAATCTTTATGCACCCATTACCTAGCTTCAACAAAAATCAGCACAGCAGTCTTCTTTCATTTCTACCTCCACCTGCACCTTCGGCCCCCTCAGACATATTACTTTACCCATGAAATACTTTAGTATGTGTTTCTGAAAGATTAAACTATTAACATAACCAAAATACTAACATCACGCCTAAAAAATTAATAATTTCTTTAATATGAAGTGTCTAGTCAGTGTTCAAATTTCCATGATTGTCTCAATTTTTTTTAATAATTGGTTTGAAAATTAGCATCCACACAAGATTCGAACTATTACATTTGGTTGATAAATCCCTTAAGTCTTTTAATCTCCAGATTCTACATCTTTTGTCTTTTTTTCTCTTGCCGTTTATTATTGAAGAATCTGGTTCATTTGCCCTATAAAATTTCCCACATTCTAGAGGATTGCAGAATGCAGTTGCATCCCTGTGATGTCTTTTAACATGTTCCTTTATTCTTTGTATTTCTTGTGAACTGGAAACTTCATCTAGGGCATCACTGCCCAGTAGAGATTTCTGTGGTGATGAAAATGTTCTGTATCTGTGCTGTGCAGTACAGCAGTCACTAAGTCACATGTGACTATTGAGCACTGAATTTTAATTTTTAAAAAATGTAATTAGATAAATGTTTTAAAATTAATTTAAATTTAAATAGCAACTTGTAGCTACCTTATTAGAAAGCACAGATCTAGAGGCTTGATCAAATTCAGGTTCAATTTTTTTTTTTCTTTTTGCAAGAGTACTTCATAGTTGGGACTGTATACTTATTTATTGAATCACATCAGGAGGCATGTCATATCTGATTTTCCTTCCAATTATCATGTTAAGATTGACCAGTGGCTTCAGTTATTGTCAGCCTCGACTTTCATTATAAAGATCGCTCTGAGCCTTTAGCTAAGGATTTAGCAGCCATTTCTGATCCTTACTTTTATCTGTTATTGCATTAGGGGTGGTAAAATTTCAGTTTTTCCAATTTTCTCATTTTTTCTGCATTTATTAGCTAGAATTCTTCTACTAAGAAGAAATTTTCCCTGTTAACTGTTTATCTTGAGGTACAGGAAAGGCAGGGTAAATGTTTGATTCTGTCCACTTATCGACTTTCAGAATGTGAGTTTTCTAGCCTTCATCTTAAAGTGACCAATGAGCTGTTGTTGTTTTTAATGTCATTAAGAACTTACGGATTTTTATATATTTGATGCATAATATGTTTCAATCTATTACATTTTTGTTGTGTTTTTCAGATTGCCCCATCTTTGGTCAGTGGGATCCCCTTCAAGTTGGCTCCTCTGTCCTTTTGATATGGCCCCAGTAGCGTTTGTTGTAACCGAAAGCAAATAAACTAAGATGTTCATCTTGAACATTTTCTTCCCCAGACCTGGAATTAGCCATTTCTTCAAGGAGCCCTAGTACTTTTTCAGTGGGAAAAGGTATTTAGAAATCACAGTCTAGTTATTAGGGTTTGTCATTGTTTCTAGCCCTTTTTAGTGGACAGAACTAAGAAATATCTACTTTTAAATTGAAAATACATCATTATCTCATACTAACCTTTTTCATTCAAAATATAGGATTATAGCATTTTTTACCTAACTTTTTTGATTTTATATTTGTATCACCTTCCTCCTACACTGAAAATCTTGATTCCTAAAAACATTATTTATTTTATCATACTATATATAGTATTATATATATACACACATATATATTGTATGTATATGTTGTGTATTTTATATGTATATAGTATAACATTGATGTAATTTCAGAATAATACCAATAGTAACAATATGATTGATTTCTGTGTAGTTCTTTGTGCCTTAAGGCTCTATCCCACTAGGTATGTGTAATTAAATTGCTGTTTCATTTCACATGAAAGAATTCTCTATGTTGTTAAGCTACCAGCTTCATAAATGGTAGGGCTTATTTGTTTCAGTTTTAAGAATTTTTTTCAACCAAATGAAATTTTGTTTTAAATTATGTAAAACATTTATATGGTTCCAGTGTCAGAACTACAAAACAAGGTATATTCAGAGAAGTCTAACTTCCTTCCCTTTTGCCCACCCCCCACAAAACGTTCTTGTCCTTTCTGTAAGTGATCATTTCTGTTAGCTCTTGGGTTTTGTGTCAGTTAAAACAAAAGCAAATATGTACATATGTATGTATCTCCCCCGCCCAAGATAAAAGGTAGTTTACTGTCAGCACTATTGTATGCCTTTCTTTTTTTCCACCCAACAGTATATCCTGGAGAGCACTTTTTAGCAACATACAGAATTTTCCTTATTCCTTTATATAACTGCATAGTACTCTTGTGTGAATGTACATCATTTATTCAACCATAGTTTGACATTTTTGATATAAAGAAGTTGTGGGTTTTTTTCCTTCATTTAGCCCATCTGAAATTTATTTGATGTTTGGTGGGTGACAGAGATCTTTATTTTTAAAAATAGTTATACTATTTTACCACTACCTTTCTTTCCTGATTTGTAAATACTCTCTTATCACACTAAATACTACCCTGAGATCTCTCCTGCAGTACTCATTTCTGTTTCCTTGATCTGTGTTTTTATTCTTATGCGAGGATCATCCTATTTTAATTGATGTGGCTTTATAATATCTATAGGGAAAGCTTATCATGAACTAATAGTTAGATCTTCAGACTAGAATTTACTAGACTAGAATTTTTGTCTTTATTCTTTCACTACCTTGTGTTAGTTGTTTAAAATGAGAGGTGTGAGTGATTGTAAAAGACAAAACTATCAAACATTTTTATACAACAGAGCATAGAAAACAATGGCAGAACTTCTCATTTCATCTTACAGTTCTGATAATGAAACCCTGGCACGATAGCACATAAATAAAAGAAATTTGCACGTCAGCCTTACTTACGTGCAATCTCATTTATGAGCAGAGGTTCTAGATAAAAGATTAAACCAAAACAAAATCACGATGCCATTGAGTTGATTCCAACTCGTAGTAACCTACAGATGAAAGATTAGGAAATAAAATATATTCGTGCATCAAAAGAATAATACTTTCTAACCAAAGAATTACTATTCTAAGAATAATGTAAAGCTAGTTCAATTATTATGAAATCTAGTCATAAAATTCATTTCACTAATAGGTTACGGGAGCAAAATCATGTTTACCTCACCAGATGTTGTAAAGCATATGCTAAATTTCAACATTCTTTCCTGCTTTTTAAAAAAAACTTGTAGTAAACTAAGAATAAAAGTTTATTCCTAATTAACATGGTGAAGTATATGTATACATTTAAAACTATATCTAGATATCTCATTACAGTTGGGAAAGAAAGAAAAATATACAACATTATTACTGTTCCTCAATGTTATAGAAATTTTAGCCAAAACAAGGTATTAAAAACAAATGAAGTATAAATATTCAGATGAAGAGATGCAGTTACTATCATTTGATGACAGTATGATTATCTACCTAGAATACTAAGAAAAATGAAGCTATTAGATTTTTTAATGAGACTTTAGTAATGTGACCAAAATTAAAAAATATTCCAACCAAAAAAACAGTTGAAAGTATAATGGAATATAAAATACTTAGAAATAAACCAACATGAATTGTATGACATTTACATTAAAAAGTACAAAACTTTATTGAATTTATAAAATGAGACTTGAAAAAATGGAAGAATTTACTATGTTCCTGAAACCTCAATATAGTAATCTATCAAATTTGCCCAAATCATTAAATTTAGTGAAATTCTAATGAAAATCTGTTGGACACTTCAAAAAGAATAGTAATGAAGGACGTACATTATCAAATACAAAAACATTTTCTAACACTGAAGTTAAAGCAGTTTGTACTTGTCCTAGGAACACAGCATGATTAGTGGAACAGAATAGCAATTCTAGAAAAAAAGAAATTTTATGTGGGTAATAATATATTATAAAGGCATCATTTCAAATCAGTGAGGAAAAGATGAATTATTTAGAAAGAGGACTAACCATAAAAATAGAGATTAAATTTGTACCATATTTTCATCTTATTAATTCATATTACTTAGATATTTGAATGTAAAACAAAGAAACAAAGAAATTATTAAGATCAATGGAAAAAATCTAGGTGAATATTTGTATTAAGGTAGGGAAGACCTATTTAAACATAGCAATAAAAGGCAGAAATTATAAAGGAAGAGATTGGTAGATATAAGTACATGAAAGTTAAAGACACATTACAAATTAGGAAACATACTTGCAACATATACAGCAGATAAAAATTTAATATCCTTGATTACAAAGAAGGCTCTTGCAGTTTATGGGGAAAGGGATAAATAAATCACTTTCAATTTCTACCTCCACCCACTAGTGGAAAAATTATCAAAGTACACGACGAGCAGCTTCTAAAAGCAGAAATATAATTGACCAATAAATATGAAAATAAGGTCAAGATCACCTTTAATATATAAAATGCATATTAAAACTGTTATTTTTATCTACTATATTGTTATATATATATTTTTAATTTTCATCAAAAAATCCATACTTAAATGCTGTAGATGTGATGCTAAAATTGTTATCTTCAAGAGAACAGTAAAGCAATAGGTACCAGCATATTAAATGTGGGCATTCTATTGGTGCAATTCTAGGAATTTATCCTAAGGAAATAAATATGCAAAAATGTCTATGTAAAAGTATTCATTACAGAGTTAGTTATGGTAGCAAAAAATTGGAAACAAATGTCCATTGTAAGGGGTTATTTAAATCATTTATGGTATATCCATACGGTGGTTCATTATATAGCTATTAAAAACTACGATGATGGTGGGAGTGGGTTGTGTGTGTGTGTACTATAATTATTGACTTGTCTGAGGTATGATTTAGCCCCACAAGGATGCCTAGGGAATGGTCACTAAGCTCTGCCTCTGTCACTCTGGCAGAATGACTTTCCTACAGCAGAGGACCAAGCTATGGCTGAGCAAGCTCTGCAGGAAATGCAGGACCTCCTTACAAACTTGCAGCAGGAGATCACCAGAGCCTGTGAAGACAAGCGAAGGCAGGATGAAGAGGAGGCTGTCCAGGTAAAACAGCAAGAATCACAGGCGCAGCAGAGGCCAGAGGTCCAGAAAGAGTCCCCAGCTCCCAGCCAGGGCCCAGGAGGGAAACAGAATGAAGGTGGGTTTTGGTTTGGTGTGGATGTGGTCCTTTAAATCAGTATACATTTTAGAATGTGAAAGGAAACAGAAATGCATTTTGAATATTATGTTAAGCTACAGGACAATTAACCAACCAGGACCTTTATATAATGTATTACATTCAGTTTTCCATGATACGGGGTCTGACATCAGATTCTAATACTTTTTAGGAGGACCTGAAATTCTGTATAATTCTAGTAGGATATATTGTTCCAAGTATTGCTGCTGAATGTTTTATTTTTATTTTTTATTGTTGTAATTAAATGAAGTTTACATTTCAAGTTAGTCTCCCGTACAAAAAAAAATTTTTTTTTTTTTACTTACATTGTTATGAGACCCCAACCGCTCACCCCATTCTGCAACAGCACACTCCTCCCCTCCTGATTCCCCACGAACATTCAACCAGCTCCTAACTCTCTCTGCCTTCCCATCTCACCTCTGGACAGAAGCTGCCCCTTTGGTCTCGTATCTACTTGACTAAGAGGCACATTCTTCACAAGTATCGCTTTATGTCCCACAGTCCAGTCCAATCCCTGTCTGAAGAGTTGGCCTTGGAAATTGTTTTAGTTCTGGGATGATAGAGATTCCAGGGGCCATGCTTTCTGGGGTGCCTTCAGTCTCAGTCAGACCATTAAGTCTGGTCTTCTTATTAGAATTTAAGTTCTGCATCCCATTGTTCTACTGCTCCATCAGGGACCCTCTGTTGTGTTCCCTGTCAGGACGTTCATTGGTGGTAGCCAGGCACCATCTAGTTCTTCTGTTCTCAGGCTGATGAAGTCTGGTTTATGTGGCCCATTCTATCTTTTGGGCTAATACTTTCCTTGTGTCTTTGGTGTTCTTTGTTCTCCTTTACTCCAAGTGGTTGGGACCAATTGATGCATCTTAGATGGCCGCTTGCAAGCTTTTAAGACCCCAGACGCCACTCACCAAAGTAGGATGCAGACATTTTCTTAATAAGCTTTATTGCTGCTGAATGTTTTAAATAAATACGTATGTTCATTTAATACATATGAGAATCAGTGTGGCATAGTGGCTGAGAATGCTGGCTCTGGAGCCCAAATCAGTGGGAATCTAGTTCTTCTGCTTACTAGCTGTGTGATGTTGGATAAATCATTTAACTTTTCTGTACCTGTTTTCTTATCTATAAAACGAAGTTAATTATAGCATCTACCTCATGGGGTTACTGTGACAGTAAAAGCAGTTAAGACATATATAAAGTGATTAGAACAGTACCTGGCCCATATTAAGTGTTCAGTAAATTCTAGCTATTATTCAAGCCTCTCTTTTATTCCTCAGATCTCCAGCTGAAAGTACAAGACAGTACGATGCAGTGGTACCAGCAGCTGCAGGATGCTTCCAGTCAGTGTGTGTTGGCCTTTGAGGGACTGACCAGCAGCAAGGACAGTCAGGTAGGGGAGAGATATACACTGGGAATTCTCTGGGCCTGAGAATACTCCCCAAAGCCTCACATCCCAGAAAAATGTAACTGGCGTATCACATTCCCTTATCCTAAGTGGCATCTTCTCATCTCTTCAAAACACTATCTGCCTTCTCACTGTTCTCTTCTGGCAGACCAAAAAGATAAAGATGGACCTCCAGAAGGCTGCCACCATCCCAGTGAGCCAAATTTCCACCATTGCAGGTTGGTTAGAAGGATTAAGAACATGACTCTTTACTTCATTTTATTTTTTAAGACTCTAGATCTTTTTATCTGTAAGCTTCCTATAAACAGTATGCTTGAACAAATGTTAATAATTGGAACGGGTATATATGTTATTTGCATCCTATTTTACTTTCCTTTGTTTCCTCTTCAGTGCATAGAACATAATCAATACATGTGTGTTGATTCATTTTTAATAAACAATACATCAATAGTTCTTAGGATGGCTCAAAGTTACTGCTGCAAATGTAGCTAAGGGACCCTAGGATATGGCTTATATTCTTTGCTTTTTTTCTTGCAACATTAGCTTTTCCAGACTTGAAGCCTGCCTTGTTAATGCTTTAGGACCTACTTCTTTTCTCTCTAGAGACAGATTTAGAGAATGAAAACCAGACAGGGAAAAAAGATCCTTCTCTCCCTTTTTCTTTAGAACCAGAGGCTTATTTTCTGGAGCTCCAGACCTAGAAGCCTCGAAATTACAGACTGTGCTGCCAAGTGGCTAGGGGAATGTGTACAACTGGAAAGCTTCTCTGACTTATTCTGAGTCCTGATTCCCCCATTGAACTTGCATTTATTGTTGCCTAAAAAATATAGGAAAGCTGACGGTTCTGCCCGGGGAAGGTTATATGACAAAATTTACATATCACTTTGCTGCCTGAAATTCTTCCTGCTACAGGGCAAGGTATAAATAAACAAATACGTATCACTTTCTGGAATTTGAAGTGCAGTTTCCTTTGATAGGAACAGCAAAGGGAGAGATTGATAGCCATTCCAAACCTTTAGTATGTACTCTCCGCAAGCTTATCCTGGATCCTTACCCTCTGATTGACATCAGACAACCTTTCCTCCTCCTCCTTCAGGAAAATGGAGACATCAGGTGTGAGATCCTCAGATCCTGCTCCTTCCACCTATACATAGCTGTGTTTTCATACCATCTTTACCTCCTAGTCTCCTTTTCGGTAGATGGTAAGGTGTCCTTCCTGATCACACTTACCCTTCCGCCTCTGCCTGTAGTCTCATCCCCTCCCATCTCCATTGACTTTGTTTCACATTTAATACCTTTCTCTTCTGTTTACTGCAATTACTCTCTTTTACAGGCTCCTTTTCCTCAGTCTTTAAACATGCTGAGTCACTGACATCCTAAAATACTTTTCTCTTGATTTTATATCTTCTGATTATTTTCTGATCTCACTCACATTTGTATTTGGCACTGTTGATTACTCCCTTCTTTCTGAAACTCTATGCTACTTCGGTTTCCATGGCAGCATTACTTTCCAGGTTCTCCTCCTACCTTTCTGACTCTTCTTTCTCTTTTTTGTGTTCTTCAGTCTCTTACTTACACCTTAATTGTAGGGACTCATTCCTACCCCACTGTTCTTTTCATTCTGTATACCCCCATGGCATTAAATACTCCCTGTATGTATGTATGATTCCCAAATCTACCTCTGGTTCATTCTTCTTCCCTGAAGTAAAGGTTCTTTAGCTCCAGCTACCTCAAAGACATCTCTCCCTAGATGTCTCTCAGATGCTTCAAGTTTAATGTGTTCAAATATAAACTCATCATCTTCCTTATGCCTGCTTTTTTCTCCTGCTTTTCTGAAGTAGCACCTTAGCTAGAAACCTGGGAGTAGCTCCGTGACTGCTTCCTGTGTTTCACTCTCCACATCTAATTACTCTCTAGTTTTGCTGTTTTTCATTTTTCTCTGTATTTTTTGACTATGTCCCTTTGTTTCCATCATTATTATAAGTCCTTTAAGACCTTACAGTCCAGTTAGACCGGAGCATGCTCTGGAGTTAGTGCTCAGTAAATGTTGAATAAGTGAGAGAAGAAGATGACCTATTTCCTGTCTCTTTAAGAAAGGTGGATGTCCACAGGCAGATAGATTTGGAAGAGAATTTAAATTAGGATACGTTTCTGGTGTGGCAGATGGGAAGTGGGATGCCGTTTCATGCATAGGGTTGGGAACTAATTTTCCCAACTGAAAAGGAGTGGAGAGGACTGGGGTTGGGAGGCAGGGATTCAGCCAGTGGAGTCCTTTGAAACCTTCTGTAAAGTAGTAATAGAGTGTGACTTAGTAGGAATATAAGTTAGATAAATTTTTATGGAAATGTGCATATTTTAACATCCCAGTAAGGTTTGGGTCTCTTTCTGTTTTTCTTGGATTCTTAGCCTTTTTTCTTGTTTCTATGGTATCTCATTATTTAGTTCTTGGTTCCTTTCTGCCTTTGTTACTTCCTAAGAAATGTGGTTGGCTTTTTTTTTTTTTTTTTAAATGGAATTTAACAGTGATTTAGAGAGAATATTTCTGAGACTTGTAACATTTCTTGAAGTATTTAGGAACTTGACAGGGTGTTTCTAAACTGGAGATGCTGTGTTAATTAAAACTTTGATTGCAGGTGATGGAAATTAATTCAGGTCTGCTTATGCAAAAAAAAAAAAAAAAAAAAGACATTTATCCTAAAGATAAAGGGGTGTTTCATAGAGTCTAATGGCATGAATGGATTTAGGTCTCAGGAGCTAGAAACTTTAGGGTCCTTTTTCTCTCTCATTTCATCTTCCCTCTGCACATCTCCATCCTTACTTTATAGACTGCTGTTCCTTGGTCCACGTGGCAGGCGCAAGGGGACTGCCCCATTGCCCATGAGTCTGTGTTGCAGGGCCAGCCACTTCAAGGAATTGGCTCTCAGTCAATTGGCTGATTGCCTCAGCTTGACTATCCCTAATGTTAACAGTGGCTGGTGTGGGGATGGGACACACAGGATCTTGTAATACAAATATTGCTGTTAGGAACTCATTACTGTGTCACTGAGAGAGACAGGTGAAGGTGGGGAGAATTGTGAGATAGGAAGATTCTTTACTTTAGAAGTTTTCTCCTAGACATGCGAATTACTCCTATAGGATATCAACCACAGCCCTTGGGGATCTGTACGTACAACACCTGTTTCTATATTATTTATCTCTTTGTTTTCAGTGTCAGTTTCTGAATTATTTCATTCCCAAATAGATTGTAAGCTCCTTTGGAATAGTACCATGACTTACATTCTTTTGCATCCCCCACAACGTGTATTTGATTGTCATATTTTTCTGCATTTATGTTTTGTCTTTAGGCTCTGAACCTCTCTGTAGGGCTGGATAGCTGGATTTATATAGATACCTTGCTATTACGATGATGAAAAGGAGATTGATCTGTAGTTGTATCTTTTGCGGCTGTAACTTTGTCTCTATCATACCCAGGCTCGAAGCTGAAGGAAATCTTCGACAAGATCCACAGCTTGCTCTCTGGAAAACCTGTTCAGTCTGCTGGACGCTCTGTGTCTGTCACACTTAACCCACAGGGACTGGACTTTGTCCAATACAAACTGGCAGAGAAATTTGTGGTGAGGGACCTTGTTGCCAGAGGCATGGAAAGAAGAGGTTGGTGTACAGTATTTAAACCTTTCTCAGATATTGACTTAAAACTGTACCCATCTCTGTTGCCAGAAACAAGGAGAGGAAGAGGTAGCCTCTCATCATGAAGCAGCATTCCCCATCGCAGTTGTGGCATCTGGGATCTGGGAACTCCACCCTAGAGTGGGGGACCTCATTCTTGCTCATCTACATAAGAAGTGTCCTTACTCAGTTCCTTTCTATCCACCTTTCAAGGAGGGAATGGCTTTGGAAGACTATCAGAGGTAGAGTTGTTTTTCTCCTTACTCACTATCCCTAGGGTGATTGATGAAATATAAATAGAATTGGGATTCTTTTCCCTTCCTTCTCACAGGTTCTCTTTTTGTCCCTTGAATGTTCTCATACCAGTAATCAATATAGTTTGGGGAGCAGAGGTGGTTCAGTGGTAGAATTCTTATCTTCCATGCAGGAGACCCAGCTTTGATTCCCGGCCACGCACCTCAAGCGCAGCCACCACATGTCTCTCAGTGGAGGCTTGTCTTGCTGTGATGCTGAATAGACTTCAGCAGAGCTTCCAGACTAAGACACATTAGGAAGAAAGGCCTGGTGATATAATGCTGCAAAATCAGCCAGTGAAAACCGTATGGATCACTCAGTCCGATCCTATTGCACATGAGGTCACCAGAAGCTAACAACAGTCAATATAGTGTAGTGGAAAGAATATTGGATCTAGAATCTATAGGTCTTCAAATTTTATCCCTGCTTTGTCATTTCATAGCTTTGCAAAAATGGGTAAATCATTTAACCTCTTTAAGCATCATTTTCCTTATTTGTAGATAAGGGTAATGATGTCCATTGCCTCCTGTGAGTTTACCTGTGAATTTACCTCACAGGGCTTAGGTGAAGTACTATTTAGATAGGAGCCCTGTTGGTTAAGCACTCAGCTGCTAACCCAAAGGTCTGCATTTCAAACCCACCAGCCGCTCCAAAGGAGAAAGATATGTCTGTTTGCTACCATAAAGATTATAGCCTTGGAAACCCTATGGGGCAGTTCTTCTCTGTCTTATACGGTCACTATGAATCAGAATCAACTTGAGGGCAGCAGGAAAAATTTAGATAATGGCTATAAGTGCTTTGTAAACAGAGTATTCTACAGATGTAATAATATGTAACCTTGTACTAATAATAATGCTAAAAGTAATAAAAATATGTTGTTACTTTTAGCCATAAAAAAGTAATCTCTGATTTGTTACCCTCACTTTGGCTTTGTCACATTGAATTCTTTTCTTCCACATAGGATGCTTGGCTACCAAGTAAAGGATTCCAAAATGGAACAGCAGGACAACTTTCTAAAACGCATGTCTGGGATGATCCGTCTCTATGCTGCCATCATCCAGCTCCGGTGGCCATATGGAAACCGACAAGAGGTAGGTAGAAAAGGTTTACTATCAATAATGAGAGGTTGGACCAGAGTCTGTATTAGTGTTCTCCATCAGCAAGAAAAGTTTATCTTCTTTCAGAGAGGGCAATCTAAGGTGAGGTAAGAGGTATATCTCACCTTGTAAGGTGAGAAGTATATTTCTACTTTATAGATGCTCTTTACAGAAGTTGATGTTGATTATTAGGAAACTTCTTTGGATCATCAGAGTCATTTGTTCAAGGGCTGATTCTTTTTATAAAGACCTGGATTCATAACAGAGTCTTTCAGAGGAGAATCTGTTAGAAATTCATCATTAAGATTAGAAGATTTTATTAGAAGAGGAATAAGCAAGAAACTGGCATATAAAGAGCTAGTTGGGGCTTAGAGGCCATCTAGTTCATGTACTTTACCTTGCAAATGGACAAGTGCAGGCTCAGAAAGCTGTAGTGATACACAGCTGTTAATGACAGAGCCACGACTGGCATACAGGGCTTTGACCTGCCAGCCCTGTTCTCTCAGGGAATGCTGGTTAGAGGGACTGAGAAGTTAATGGATTTAGAAACCTGAAGAGAAAGGAATACAAGTTGATTGAATCCAGGAAGTTTTTATTGTATACCTCCTATGGCCCAGGCTGTACTGATGTGCCAAGAATAATAAATAAAATGTATATAAGGGTAACTGTTGGCCTGTGAGTCTCTGAACTGACACACATGTATTGAAGGAATCCTATAAAGAATGTATGGGAACCAATGTACTGGAACATTTAAAAACAGAGTTCTATTAGCTTTTTTGTTTCTGCCCTTTGACAGGTGCTTGGTTTAGATGATCTGAGGTCCATGCCCACTTGGTAATGGCTGCATGATGACATTGGGAGTTTAGATCTCTGAATAAAATGAGATCAAATCATGACCAAGTTTCTTTCCTCCCAGATTCACCCTCATGGCTTAAACCATGGCTGGCGCTGGTTGGCACAGATCTTAAACATGGAGCCCCTGTCAGATGTGACAGCCACCCTACTCTTTGACTTCTTGGAGGTATGTAATGCAGTTATTACATAAGAGAAAGCCAGTGGTTAAAGCAGTCTTGGGCCACTGGATGACATGAATGGGGAAACATAATAGAAATAAAACCTGTTGCCTTCGAGTCGATTCCGACTCATAGCAACCTTATAGGACAGAGTACAACTAGCCCATAGGATTTCCAAGGAGCAACTGGTGGATTTGAACTGCTGACCTTTTGGTTAGCAGCTGAGCTTTTAACCACGGCACCACCAGGCCATTATAGAAATGGAATCATACATTTTTTTCCTTAGCTCTAAGACAAACCTGGAGCCCTCGTGGCACAGTGTTTAAGAGCTTGGCTGCTTACCAAAAGGTTGGCAGTTCAAATCCACCAGCTGCTCCTTGGAAACCCTATGGGGCAGTTCTGCTCTGTCCTATAGGGTCACTGGGAGTCGGATTTGACTCGATGGAAATGGGTTTTTTTACGGGTAAGGCAAACCTAGCTTTTGCTTTTTTCTTCCAACTGTACTTCTCTGTGTAGATATCTTTTCATTTCAAAGAACAGAAAACTGTGTATCTTAGCATAAGTAAAAAGGAGAATTTGTTTTAGCAATGGAGAAGTGACCCCAGAATGAAGGTAGGATGCTCAGTTAAATCTCATGAGGGCCTGGAACCAGGAACTAGCATGTCACTAGGCACCAAGATAGTCTCTCTTTGGGGCCACATGACCTTTCATATCTGTTCTCCTTGCAAGTTACCTCATTCTTGCTCAGTAGGCCAATTTTCTCTATTTCTCTGTACACAGAGTAGAAGACGGCCACCCTGGACTATATCACTCTCAGCCTCAGTGTAGTCACTCAAATGGTTAGAGGGACTGAGAAGTTAGCATCTCCCTGTTCTGATTCCTAATTTCCAGGAAAGAAAATATGATTAGCCCACGAGTCAGTTATCTCCCCCATTCCAAATGCTCTATTCAGTCCTGTTGGCTTATGGAGGACCACTATTATAGGGAGAAGGTAAAGGTTTCTATGGAAAGGAGACATTTCTTAAAGAAGAAAGGCAGGCAAAATGTAATAGCAAATCTGGGACCATTTAGCCTATAATGCCAATAGTTCCTAGTCACCTTCATAGTTCCTGAAGTCACAAAACATTAATAGTGATCCTGAATCATTGAGAACACGAGTAGTATTCTGTATACTGTACTTAACTAAGGTTGGGAGGTATATCATACCTTTAGAAAAGTTTCTATTACTAGAGTAAAATAAAATTAGGTAAATCAATTTGCTTTAATCTTCTGGTTTTCTGAACTACTTGGCCATCTGGCAGGCTGGCTAAATGGGGGTATTGCCATATACAGAAGAGTGCTTTAGTAGAGAGTTGGATTTTTCCATTTAAATCCCTTGGTTAGCTGGCTAAGTGGCATTGTAACTGAAATATAGAGATGAAAGGCAAAGGACTGATTGTGGGTCTCTTCTATGAGTGTGAATTTTCATTTTCTGTTCTGACAGTGCCTAATTTCCCTGTAGGTGTGTGGCAATGCCCTCATGAAGCAATACCAGGTCCAGTTCTGGAAGATGCTACTTCTCATCAAAGAAGACTACTTCCCCAGGTATTAGACTTGTTGAGTAGATGACGGGGGGTTCAATAGGTAAAACTTATTTAACTAGGCATTAGAGACCCTTGGGTGCTGTTACTTATTGTTTTTAACTCAGGTCAAAAACATCTGTATTAAGTATGACATCTTCCTATTCCTGTTCTCCTCTTCTTTGATATTTGAATATATTCTTTTGAACTCTAATTACAGTATTTCTTAAATATTGTTGGCTAAACAAACAAAAACAAATTAAGAAATCCTTGGATTAAGATACCTGGTGTTTTTTGACTCTCTACCCTTTTTCCAGCTCCCCAGATAATAACCTGGAGTGGTGATTTCATGTAGTCATGAATTAAACCTAAGAGTCAAGTCCCCTGAACAAATCAGTTGTAATTTATCAACCAGTTTGCTTGACGTTGGTGTGGCATTTGCCTCTAAGTACCCTTCACTTTTCCTTTCAGTTTATTGACATTTCAAGTTGGGGTCGGGGAGGCCTTGGCAAAACCCACCCCACCTGATCACGAAGACTTTGGAAATGAACAGTGCTCTTTTCTTGTTTATCACCTTATTTGAAAAGGTTAGGACTATTTGGAAGAACAACGGCGTCCTTGGTCTAAAAGACATCTCTCTAAGTCATTTGATCAACCCCTTCACTCCAGATCAACAATGTGCGTTAACTCCTCTCCAAAAGGTAGGTTTGATTCATGTGTCTCTTTTCTCTCCTTGTAGAATTGAAGCCATCACAAGCTCAGGACAGATGGGTTCCTTCATACGCCTCAAACAGTTCTTGGAGGTAAGATACCCTTAGATCAACCTGTCCCAAGCTGTTGTTGGTCTGGCATGCAAATGTGTCTGACAAGTCTTAGACCGTTAGACTTTGATTGCAACCCCTTCCTCTTAGTTTTCAGAGCCCCCCCCTTTTTTTTAATTTTTAAATTTTTTTGCATACAAAAACTTATACATACATTGTTATGTGACTCTAATTGGTTTCCCCATACTGTGACAGCACACTTCTCCTTTCCATCCCTGATTTCCCATGTCCATTCAACCAGCTCCTAACCCTCTCCGCCCTCCCATCTCACCGCCGGACAGAATGAGCCCTCTTTTTTTGTCCACAATTCTCCCTTAACCTTTGGACTAAGGGCTGCCCTTTCATCATCTTCCTACATATCGTTCCCCTGTTAAGTGTTAGAAGCAGTGTTAATCAGAAAGTCATTCTCTTTTCTTCATCTTTCCATGACCAGAAATGTTTGCAGCGCAAGGAGATTCCTCTCCCCAAGGGCTTTCTGACATCTTCCTTCTGGCGCTCCTGATGTCAGCTCCATCATCGCCCATCGTCACTATTATGTTGCTCAATTTACAAAGAGACAATAATAAAACAACTGAAGACGGCTGTATTTGGGAGAAGTCATGTCAGATTTAGAAATCTATCAGTATATGTTTTTATATACTTGTATTGTATGGCCAGGAGAGGGGATTTTCATGGGTCACAAAATCTAGGAGGTCCCTTAGTAGATTTGGTAGCTTCTCAAGAGGTTCACATGAGAGCGTAAATTGTATTGGCCTTACTCAGTTCTGTGAAGGTTATTAGAAATTATGAGAAGAGGTGTTTAGCACTTACTCTTATCCTTTATTTCCTTTGTCTCTAGTATATTTCAGAAAATAGGTGATAACTTTATTTAACTCTCAGCTGGAGTCCACCACTTTCACTCTTCTTCCCACCCCTATTCAAATGAATTCCCAGGAAGAGCAAAGACTCATGAGGTCCCCCTTTAAAATGTACTTTAATAGTTGAGGACCAAATCTTTACATGCAAGTTTGGGTTATGGTTGGTTTGCCTTCCTCAGCTTGTGAAGTAGATGTAAATTCAGGGGAAAAGTGTTATGTAGACATGGACTACAGCCAGACTGCATCAGGGATGGCTGAGTGTCTGGGATTAGGACTGTTAACACGTGTTATGTTGAACTAAGAAGCACTGTTTGTTCTCTTAATGGATGCTAGGGATGCATGACCCAGGGTAGGTACCTATTTTTTTGTTTTTCAGTTTCCAGTAAGATGGGCTGAGATGGAGCTTTCAACATTATACATGACCTGAACATCTATAAGTAATGAATCAGGGTTAAATAAGGATGTTAGGGAGGAATTGAAACTGCATTACCATTTTTCACATGTTCTGAATAATGAAAGATGATAAATTTGCCTGACGAAAGCCACTGAAAAATCCAGAGCTTGGCTATTCAGCTAAGAGATGAGGTTTGTTTTATCAGAGGCAGCAGCCATGGATGTTTTCCTCTATGCTAAATGTCATGTATTTGGGTGGGTGTGTATGTGGGTGGGCGGGTGTTCACTATACTCTGGAGTGACTTAAAGTCACCCATTCTATGAATTGTTGACTGCAGTGCCAAAAATTGAGTAATAAAGCTTGATCTTTTTAAAACCCACTGCTGACATATAGTTGGTTCAGTATGATGAATTTCCTGTGCCTTGAGCTATGTAAATCATTAGCGTCATGGCAGTGCACAAGACTAGGTATGTAGTATGCATTTTTCCTCTTTTTTTTTTTTTTTGTCTTCTTGATCTTCACCTTGGACAAATTGTTTCTTTTTCTGTCATTCCTTTTTTGGAAGTATGCAGCAATAAGTGACCCTATTTTATCTAGGAGACGTGATAGTATTAAAGTCTTTTAACGTAGACAATGGAATGAACACTGTGGAAGGAGTCAGGAGACCTGTGCTCAATTCACTTTTAGGTTTTGTGGCCTTGGGTAGGTCATTTACCCTCTCTGAACCTCAGTACCCCCACCCCCCACCTGTAAAACTAAAGAATTGGACTAGTCACTAGATCAGTAGTTTTGAAATTGTTCTCTGTAGCAGTGTCTTAGGACTGAGCTTCTCAGCTGGCGTGTTAATGACGCGCTGATCTTAAGCCCATGGGGTTCCCAGAAGTGGCCTTCAATAGACGGAGCCCCCAGGCCAGCTGACATTTTCACTTTTTCTCTTTACCTGTGCCTTACAAATAGCATCATTTTCTGTGTGTATCATGTAAGGGAACAGATTGGGAAGTACCAACTTAAGGAAGAGAGGGGTGTTGAGTGTTGCATTGACATGGCTCAGCCCTACCGTCAGTGAACGTACGGAGGTTTTGTGCAGATTAGAAAAAGGCATCCCTTCCTTCAACATACTGCTTCCATCTGCTGGAATATTATCTTACTAATAATTATAAAAATCTATGATACTGGGAGGTATGTGGTACCCATTAGAGTTGTGCAGTTCACATTTTACACAGCCATTAAGTGGGGCCCTAATGGAGCTCTGGGATCCTCTCTGCCGTAACATTTCTGCCTTATGTGCTTTATATATTTGGGTTCCATGTAAGATTATATATGGGAAAAAGTTCTACTGCTAAAAATGAAATGTGAAAAATCACTGGACAAAGTGATCTCTAAAGTCACTTCCACTTTGAATTTCTACCACCCCACAGAAAACACCTCTCATAATATTTGAATATTCTTTCTCTAGATATAATTAACAGTCTTGCATATGTCATTCGATGTTTGGTATTCTTCATGAATCTCAACAGTAAACCAAGAAAGGAGAACACTTGGGAGGCCAGGTTTTTGATAACTCACTGACAGTGTCACCCTCATAGATAATGATTCTAGCGGATAAGATGTAACTCCTGATGGGTAGTAGCATCAGATTATTTAAAGTAGAATACTAAGGGCAGCATTTAGTTTTTAATTCTAGTACTTTCAAGCTTGACCTCATTTCTCAGGCTGAGTGCCCATATTTTTGTCATATCATTGTCCTACATCATCTTAAAGCAAACTTGATGAATTGAAAATTCCAGTAAGACAGAAACTCTACACATCCCTTGTATAGAAGAAATGAATTGTTCTTCTGGGGATTTCCCACCCAGGCCCTAGGAGCCTTCTACTTCTCAAGCTTCCTATGATGATAGCAGTGACATAATTAGGTTTGGATGTCTTATCTCAGTGCCAGGACAGCCAAAATGGAGCCACAGAACTTCTTACAGATGCCTTGTCAGAGCTGGTCATTCACCTGCCTTTCCTCTGTTCCGTCTAATAAATCCCTGGTATTAGATTTCCTGTGGACCTGTAGAAAGCAGATGAGTTGTAGACCTCCACCTCTATGATTAATTTACAAAAACATCCACTATATAGGAACTTATCCTCTAGTTTACAACCAGGCTCTATTTTATTTTTTTAATATCAGTTTACACAGATTTATGTATTCAAGAAACTTTTTTTAAACTCCTTCGGGATGCTTATATTAAATGCAACACATGGTCCTGGATTGGAACCTGGACCAGAAAAAAAGAATTTTCGTTTTTTGCTATGAAGAACCTTGGGATAATATGCAAAACTTGAATAAAGTCTATATTAGGTAATAGTATTAAGTCAACATTAATTTCATGATAGTCATAATTGTACTATGGTTATGAAAATAAATGTCCTTGCTCTTAGGAGATATGCATGGAAGTACTTAGGGATAAATGGACATATCTGCAACATATTCTCAAATGGTTCAAGGGGAAATACATCAAATACATATACATACATAGAATGATAAAGCAAACAGTAAAATGTTAACAACTGGGGAATCTGGGTGAAGGGTATATGGAAGTTCTTTCTACTATTCATGTAACTTTTATGTAAATTAAAAATTATTTCAAAATTAAAAGATACTCCTTTCCCTCCCCCCTCAAAAGAAAAAGATTTTTACTTTTCAGAAAAAGTTCTGATGAGATAACAAAATCGAACTCCAGCACCTACAACCCTGAAAGGAAGACCCTGGTGGCTAAGGAAGGAGCCCTGCTGGTGCAGTGGTTAAAGCTCTCGGCTGCTAACTGAAAGGTTGGCAGTTTAAAACCACCAGCCGCTCCATGGGAGAAAGATGTGGCAGTCTGCTTCCGTAAAGATTTACAGCCTTGGAAACCCTACGGAGCAGTTCTGCTCTGTCCTATGGGGTCGTTAGAGTCAGGATTGACTCCATAGCAATGAGTTTTTGGTGGCTAAGATTACCTTGAAGCCATCAACCTACAGTAGGGATGGAAAGTCAACTCTAAATGTGCTTTGCAAAGTGTTTCCTACTTAAAGGGAAATAAGTGACATGGAGGGTAGAATTTTAATTCAATTGAGAATGTGATAATAAGTACTTAGAGTACTTGACTGAGCAAAAAGCTATGGAAGCACAGTAGATAGATTCATTTTCAACAAGGGTAACTTTTCCCAGAGTGTTTTTCTGCAGGATCCTAAGAAAAGGGTTGTGTACTCAAGAAAAGGTTTAAACACAGAAGACAACATTCTTTGATGGTTACGAGGATGGTGAGGGAGGGTGGGGGTTATTCACTAACTAGATAGTAGACAAGTATTAGGTGAAGGGAAGGACAGCACACACTAGAGCGGAAGTCAGCACAACTGGACTAAACCAAAGCTAAGAAGTTTACTGAATACAGTCAAACACTTTGAGTGATAGAGTAGCAGGGGTAGGGGTCTGGGGACCATGCTTTCAGGGGCCATCTAGGTCATTTGGCATCACAAAGCTTATTAAAATGTTCTGCATCCTACTTTGGTGAGTGGTGTCTGGGGTCTTAAAAGCTTGCAGGCGGCCACCTAAGATGCATCAATTGGTCCCAACCACCTGGAGTAAAGGACAATGAACACCAAAGACACAAGGAAAGTATTAGCCCAAGAGACAGAA